ATATATATATATATAATGTAAAGCGAATATAAAGCGTTATGTCTTCGAGAAAGTATTTAAGTATATAGATAAACTAAATTTGTTTAAAATAAGTTTCCAAATTAGTTTCGTATTTTTCAGATTCTTCCTCCTCTTTTTCCTCTTTTATAGTTTTATATTTAAGTTTGATAAAGGTCGTTCTTGAGTATGTCACTTAAGCGTACTGTCTAATTAAAGTTCTTCTCGTCTAATTAAGATGCTTTCCTTTTGTGTTGAACCTTGGAAACTAACATCTTAGATAAAAGTCGCCGATAATAAGCACCGTTAAGAAAAGGGAAGAAAAAGAAGTATACTTCCGCGTCTCGTTGTTGACGGTTGATCATCGGTATTTTGCGAGCACTTTTAACGAGTTGCAACCTGTAATTAATTACTACGCAATTACATCTTTTTCCTTGGATAAGCAGAGGAAATAATAAAGTACACAAAGACTGTAACGTGCAACAGTTTTCTTCATTTATACATAGTTGCACCAGTTAAATTATATTATTTTCTCGGTAAAGAACTAGAATGAATGTAATGCAGAATTTTTATTGTTTTATTGAAAATTGTTTTGTACGACGTACAATGATGTTTTATTTTTTTTTTTAATTGACCTGACATTCGCGAAAATTGTTTGAGCTGTAACTCCATCAAAAGTCTAATAGAAATCTCAAAGCTCGTCGGGTTTCATATTCGTAATTACTCGGCTGGACATGTAGTCGTTAAAGGAGCTTAATCTCAAGTTTACGGTCCAGAGAGAGAAGGATAAATAGAAAAAGAAAGAGAAGAAGGGAATAACAGAACATAGAAAAGGAGAAGGGAATAGAGGCGAGTATATAGGGAAGTATTAGGGAACTGAAGATTATCTCGAAAAGTGGTTGTTGTCACAGAGTATTCATAAGTCGTCTGGTATCATATTTCTATGATTTTGCTGCGCATTACGTTGCTGTTCTACCTGAATAAATTTACATGCACCGGTAATCAGGTTGTAAAACAGGATCTTGTTTGTACTTTGCATGATTTCAATATTACATTACAGTATTAATGTGACAATTAATGTTATTAATGTTATACAAATTCAAGATAACACTACATAAAATTAATTATGTAATTAATCAGTGTGATGTATATAAATTGTTGATAATTTCTTAATTCTTTTAAAATGACTTTTGACAAAGACATAAATTTTATGTAGCAATATTTTTTCGATATATAATAAAATTAACAATGATTATTTTTTAAAATAATGTTATAGCAACATATGTATAATATACGTATACCTTTTAAATTTCTTGGAATCTTACTCTAAAGAGTAAAAATTGAGCCAATCTCGAAAAAAAGTGGCTAAATTTTCAGTCTTTAATGAGATTTCACTCTTCAGAGTGTATGAGATTTAATTCTAAAAGTTTTGTATAGGATAATGTTCTGCAGCCTATTAATTACGAGTGACTACTTCAACCGCAAAAAAATATTTGCGCCAGTGTGAGTTACCGAGGAAAATTGAATGTACAGTGGTTAAATGCTGATCATTGAAATTCTACGATTTTCTGGTTCATGGTATTTTTATGATTTCTGTGGCATCTCTTTTTCGATTTTCTTTCTCTCTTTCTTTCTCTCTCTCTCTCTCTCTCTCTCTCTCTCTCTCTCTCTCTCTCTCTCTCTCTCCGTTTCTCTTTTTCTCGACGTACGTACATTTCATTAAATACTCCTTTTTTTTCTATATTCGCGACCACCCTTCGTAAATATTCGTGCGGCGAAGGTTCTACAGCTATTCGCAATGAATCCCCGTTTCCTGGGGGTAGACGTAGACGCGCAGCGATAGAACGGGTGGGGTGCGTCAGGAAGTTTGAAGTATTTTCCTCATAAAGCTTTCGAGGTATCTAAAATATTTGCGACGATGCGGATTTCGCTTCGGGATTTTAATTAATTAACGACTCGACACGCTGACTGGCCCGAACGAACCAGTTTGGTCAGACGATGTGAGGGGCGGAAGGTGATGGTAACGGGAGGTGAGTGGAGGAGGTAAAGGTTCATTAGAACCTCGCGCAGCTTGAAATTCTGTCGACCACAATGTAAATAACTCACTCGTGCTTTATATAAAGCAGAGAGAGAACCTTTGTACCAAAGAGCCGCCCGTATGCGTTCATTAGGCGGTGTTTAGTTTTAGTTACATTTCGAACCATGCGCGTGAACACGTCCGCGTATTACAGTATTACACGTGTACGTGAAGAATCGTTGAAATATCTAGCTCCGTTCGAAGCCTGTATCCATCGGGTTTGCCCTGAGGATAATTGCACAGAGACTGATTGGATGAAAGGAACACCTTTTATGGCGCGGTATATTAAGAACTTGTTAAATCAGGAAAGGTAGGCGAGATTGTATTACGAATGATTGTGCGATACTTTAGCTAACAATACGTGAAATAATAGAGTGATTCGCGATGCATATCTCTCCTCCTGGTAGATGAATGAACAAAGAAATGCGAAAAGTGACTAACTTATTTTTTACGAATCGTATATAAGTATAATCGTATATAGGTGTACAACTTTGCTTCCGCCGTTTTTTTCCGAAATTCGAGGCTTTATTGTAAAAAACTGGTTATACATTTATGATTCAAAGTATTGTCCATCGCTGGCCACTACTTTCTCCCATCTTTCGGGTAGCGTACGAATCCCGCGTCGAAAAAACTGGTCATCTTTTGAGGCTATCCACGAATCGATCCAATTTTTTACTTCTTCATAAGATCGAAAGTGCTGGTCAGCCAGGCCGTGTGTCATTGATCGAAATAAGTGATAGTCAGAGGGAGTAACGTCTGGAGAATACGGCGGGTGGGGTAGGACTTCCCATTTCAACGTTTCCAAGTATGTCTTGACCACTTTCGC